GGCGGTTTAAAGGTTGCTGGTTTTGGTCCACCCAGGACCTTCCGTTCTTCACCGGTGTTCACTAAACCCTCTGCAGAGCTTCCAGTGGGCCGCAAGCTACCTCTGCCTGTTCGTTTCTCTAACCTGTGTCTTTGCCCGTCCCCCTTCCTTCTCTCTTACCTGATTCTTGGCCGGTCCCCCTGTCTGTCTCTCTACCTGTTTTCTGACCGTCCACCTGTCTGTCTCTTCACCTGTGTTTCTGCCCGTCCCACCTGTCTGTCTCTCACCCTGTTTCTCTGCCCGTCCACCTGTTTGTTTTTTTTGGCGCGGTCCTCCAGCCCGCAGCCGGATCCCCCGGGCCCAGCATGAGTCAGGGCTGCAGCCGGGAAACCAGCCGGGAGAGCAGCCGCGACCCCAGCCCCGCCCGGGGTTTCTCCCCCCTGGGTGAGAGAGGAGAGTGCCGCCCCCCCCCCCCCCCCTCCCCCCGATGCTCTGCACGCTCTGTTCTTAGTGTCCTCTACCCAAAGACTGTCCTCTGCCTGCTTCCTCTGACTGTTCGTCCTCCTGCAGCAACGCGCCGCCACTCCCGCTCCACCAGCGCCCTGTCCTCTGCAGAGACCTGCTCAGGTGACCTCCTCCTCCTCCTGTCCCATGGAGCAGCAGGAGCTCCTCCTCCTCCTCCTGTCCCATGGAGCAGCAGGAGCTCCTCCTCCATGGGGCTCCTGCTGCTCCATGCGTTCTGCCGGGTCACGACTAAGTTCTCTTTGCGTTGGGTTTCTTCTCAAACCTCCTTCCTCACCTGAGGAATCCTTTGATTCTGGTATGATACCAAACCCGGATGGATGGAGTCCTTCAGACACGCCCCCTCCTCCATGTGGTCCCAGTAGATTCATGGGACATGATTAGTGAACCATCCAAACCTCCTCCTCCCCCCTCAGACCGACTATCCCATCACTCTCGGATTTCGGCCGCCGTGAACGCCATGAAGATCCTGGACACGGGCACCGAGGTGGAGGCCGCCGTGGCCGACGCTCTGGTAGGAAGCGTGTTTCTTTGAGGCGGTTTCCATGGTGACGTAGTCTCGTGCTTGTGAAAGTGTCTCCGGTGGAGGAGGCGTAGTTGGAGCCCTGCAGTAACTCCTCTGTCCTCTCTCTCCAGCTCTTAGGAGACTCCAGGAGTAAGGTACACACTTGCGTTGAGATGAGAGCATGAGGGCATGAGAGCATGAGGAGATGAGGGCATGAGAGCACGAGGAGATGAGGGCATGAGAGCACGAGGAGAAGGGGGCATGAGGACATGAGAGCATGAGGAGATGAGGCTCTATAATTGGTATGAGAGCATGAGGAGATGAGAGCATGAGGAGATGGG